CAAGGCAGGCCTGGAGGTCGTATTAGGGAGGGGGTGGCTGGGCCGCAGAGGCGCTAGAGCCGGGACTCTGGGTTCAAGGCCCAGCTCTGTGAGTCATAGCCTGGTGACTTCAGGCACGGCCATGTTCCTCTCTGTGCCTTGTTTCCTCCTCTGTCAAGGATGCTTGGGCCACCCCTTGTGGAACAGTCTGTGCTGTGCTGCCAGGCACTCAATGCCAGGGACCCAAGAAACTTCTTGTGGGGACTCTGCAAAGGCAGCAGGTGACCCAGGGGAACCTTGGAAGGCTTCATAGAGAAGGCATCCCCTGAGCTTGAAGGATATGTGCAGAGTTCTGGAAGACAGGACACTCCATCGGCAAGGGCCAGCTCATGCTGAGGCTCGGAGGTGTGGACATTCCTGAGACAGCTCTCACCGAGGGTCACTTAGTCCTCTGCCCATTTCTGCCATGTCCTTTTGTCAGGTTGATTTATGAGAACGCTCTCTGTTAGGTTGGTCAGTGCCTTTTATAACATATTTGTCATTTTTGCTTGTGATAGGCTTTAAGAAACAGCAGCATAAATATGATGTTGGCATATCTTCCGACCCCTTCTTTCGTGGTCTTTCTTGAACCTGCTGTTGTTGCTGTGTCTCCAGTCTTTGCTCCCCTGTGCACACATTGGTGCTTAGGAAATGGCTCACACCTGAATTAAGCTGAAGCTTGAGAAACTATAGCAATAAGGAAAATGGCAGCCATGTTGCCTTTGTCCACTGGCTTCATCTCTGGGCTTCCCCCAATCCCGTTCATCTGCTCGTTTCTGCCCACATGGAGTGAGGCTTGGCCACAGCTCACAGAGTCTGTGACTCCTCTGAGGAGCGAGTGAGGGGCACAGGAGTGAGATGCGAGATTAGTGGCCAGGAAGTTCTGACTGGATAATCTCCATTACTAACTGTTGAAATCCTTCCAGGGCCCTATGAGAGAGTTATTATGATTAATCCCATTGTTCAGGTGAGAAAATGGGCTCAGAGAGGTTATACGACTTACGCAAGGCCACACAGCAGGCAAAGACAGAGACAGGATTTGAACCCTGGCCTATAGCCCCAGGACTCTATTTTCAAACTCCCTTCTGGCACCATTACCCTTGGGATCAAGTGTAAGCTCATTAATATGACTTCTGGGGCCTGTGAAAATCTCGGTTTCTTAATCTGTTGATACAATACCTTGGCCTCTGTACATATCAGGCATTCAGTCTATTTTCTCCTTCCTAGATAGTAGGGTGGCAAGATGTGCCCTTTCTGTTCCTCCATTCTCCCTACCGCCAAGCCCCAATTTCTTAGGATCCTGGAATGTCAGGGCTTGAAGGCCTGCTACAGACCAGGCCCCTTGTTAGTGGAGGAAACAGGGAAGATGCTCACCCAGGCCCGGTGTGTGCACACCACTCTGCACCAAGGTCGTTCTCAGACTGGGTTCTTTCCACTCCCCATTGTTCCCTTCAGGAAGTCCCCGTGCTTCCCCCCAACCCGGTGGGTCAGACATCTCCGGGTCCCCAGGGATGAGTCAGCCATGCTATGACTGCTGGTTTACTCACTGTCCCCCTGCTTGGCAGGGCTCCTCATGGTCCACCTCCACGTCTCTGGTGCCCAGCTGAGCCCAGCATTAAGTGGGCCCTCAGGGGGCTGACTGTAAGAGGGACAGAGCTCCCCAGGCCGCACAGTGAGATGGAGCAGAGCTGCAAGCCCCATTAAAGTCCGAAGACCTTCTAGGTCCCACCTGCTCCTGGGATTCACCAGGGCCATGGATGGGGCAGTATCTGCAATGCCCACCCTAGTGAAAAGCACCCAGAGGCCCCTGTCCTCTGCTGCTCCCAGGGGCCTGGGGCCAAGGACACCCTGTTTCTCTCTGGCCCCCGCCCCCTGTGGAAGGATGTTCTCAAGATAAAAATACTCTCGGAAACATTTCCTGGTGCCTGGTGTGATCCGTTGTCCACTCTGGGGCCAGAACCTCTTGCCCTGACTTCACCTTGGGGCTTAGAGGGTGGATGTCCACCTTCCTTGCTGCCAAACCTGTCCCTGGGGTCATTGTGCCCTTCCTCTCCCCCCACCTCACAGAACATGAAAGGCCTGAGGGGCTGTGGTCACATGTGTTTGACCAGCACTTGCTGAGTGCAGCTGCCAGTGCTGCCCCAAGCACAGGGAGCAAGTGGCTCCCTGCTTTGGCAGACCCCATGGGCATGCTTCACTGCCCATTGCGGTGCACTCAGAGAGCATCACACTGGCACAAGGGAACTCAGAGACATGCCAGTTTTCCTTCCTGTCGGGAATCCCCACTTTTGTTTTCTTCAGCCTGTGTCAGTTGTCAGAGCTGAAAAACCCTCTCAGAGACCCTGGGATGAGGTCTCTATTTCCCCCCTTGACAGTCTCCTGGGGTGGACTGATCACCTTGTTTTGCAAATGAGGAGTCTGAGGCCCAGGGATGGGCCCATAGTGAGCTGGAGGTGACCAGGCTGCCAATGCAGGGTGGGGTACACTGGGCTCTTGGGCCTGCCCCCAGACAGGGCTATTGTCAGTGATGGTGACAGCTGTGCCTCCTGGAACCCCGCCGTGCCAGGCCCTGTGCCCAGCTTACTCCTCCCTCACCATCTTGAATTTCATGGCCCTTTGGCTGGGAGGCCGCAGACTCATCAGCCATTGTGTGGAGGAGGAAGCCAGGCCTCAGGAAGGGGAAGTGCCTTGCCCTGCGTTCAACCCCCCTATTGGGGTTTAGCTGCAGCCCTGGCAGACAGGTTGGCACTGGGTGGAGGAGCGGGAGGCCCTGCCTTCATTTGCTGGGAGACTGTGGGCCAGTTTAGCCTGTCTGGGTCAGCCCGCCCCTCTCTCCTCTGTCATGGGCCAACTGCTCCTACACGCCTGCCTCCCTATCCAGGACTCTGGCTGTGACTCAGGAAAGCATGTAGTGAACCTCAAAGGGCTGAGATCATATCGTGGGCTGCTGCGGCCCCTGCAGGGTGGTGGGGAGCCCTGGAGCACCACTGTTGGTGTCCATGCTGCTGCTCCCTCAGCAGCTTGGTCCCTTGGGCGAGTCACTTCACTGCTTTGAGCCTGTTTCTCCCTGTGTAGAATGGAGCTAATTTTACTTCTTCTAAATGAGAAAAAAAATATGATTGAACTTGTGGGTTTGGAGAAAGTCCCCTCCAGGAAACAAAGGGTCAGGAATACTGTTGAGAGAGATTGGAGCAGCCAGTGACCAGAGGAGGGGAGGGGCAGACTCTCGGTGCTTCCTGCCTTCATCCCTTGCCCCCACTGGTCTGTGGCTCCCTCTTGCCCTGCAGCAACAGCCCACCTCCTCTGCTCAGAGTTCCAGCTCTAGGTGACAGCGCCTGGTGAAGTAACCTCTCTCAGCCCCCCTCTCTCTTTTTTAAAGATTTATTTATTCTTACAGAACTGGGGGACAGGCCAGAAGTGCAGGAGTGGTGAGAGGATTCACCAGAGACAGAGTGGGGGAGCAGAACAGGCAGATCAGCAAAGTACACTGCTGAGGGGAGCAGCGGGCCAGTCAGGAGAGGTCTGCCACGCCATGTGGTCACCTCCCTGGCTGGGGATCGAACTCGCATTGAAGCTGCTGCACTGAGCTTCATGGTGCTGCGCTTTAACCCATTGTGCCACCGGGGAGGGCCCCACTCTCAGTCCCTTTTCCCATCTGTCTGGTGGGCTGTACAGGTGGGGTACCAGAGCCGGGAGCAGAGCAAGGGCGTGGTGAGACGCATCCAAGTCCCTGCCGTGGAGAGTCCCAGTGTGTGATGTGGGTCTGAGAGTCTATTTTCCCATCAGCTTTGAGAAGGAAAGGGCTGAGGGGGAAACTGCAGGGCCATGCAGCCCCCCAGAGAATGGGAATAGGGACTGAGGCTGGAGCCTGGCGGGTGAAGGGGACCAGCCAGGCCATTCTCTTATAGAGCCAGCAGAGCCCCAGAGAGGGGAAGTGACTCACCCCAGGTCTCACAGCTGGTGAGGAGAGAGCTGGAATTTGAAACCAGGCCTGTGTGCCTCTAAACCAAAACTGTCACCTGCCCCAGGATGTTCATTTTGTGGAGGTGACTTACCAATAGTTAATCCCAGCCAGAAAATCCAGTGCAGCAGTGGATTATCACCATGGAAGGGCAGGGTTCTGGGAGGTTCTGGGAAGGGGAGAAGGACACCTCCAGTCAGCTTCCCACTTGGAAATTTGCAGAACCCCTCCCTATCACACTCTGCCCTGATCTGGAGGGAAGTAGGGGACCCCATTGACAGGCTTGGGGATTGCTGGGATCACAGAGAAAGAGAGAGAGAGAGTATGCACGTGCCCAAGGCAAGTTTCTGACAAATTACGGATTGCGCCCACTCGTAGTCAGCATCCACCCACCCACCCATCCATCTATCCATCCACATGCACACACTCATCTATCCTACATCCATCCATTGGTCTATCCATCCACCCACTCACCCTCATCCACCTCCCCACCTGTCCACCCACCCACTCACCCATCCATCTACATCTGGCTTCTGTGGTTAGTGGTTGGTACTAGGGAGGCTGCAGAGGTGGTGGCTGGGAGCACAGACTAGGCTGGGGCCTGAGTTCCCTGTGGCCTTAGGAGAATTACCACAATACCCGCTGCTCTGGAATAGGAACAGCGGCGGTGATGACCTGTGGGGCTGTTGTGAGACACATGGACTGATGCCTGTAAACTCCCCATGGCAGTGTCTGGCATGCATTTACCCTTGATCATTTCCAGCTGCTATTTTCTCTGGGGCTTCACCCTACTCTTCCCTGCTCTCATTCTCAAAGGTTGCTATAGACAGGCTCACCTGCTGTAAAGGTGTGTTGGGGGATCAGAGTTGGGAGCTGGGGGCCACTACACCTCCCTTGGGGGTGCTGGGGGAAGTGAGTATAGAAATGAAGGTTCATGTGGACGTTTCTGGCCTTTGATCCCCACTCCCGCCCCCAGGAGGACACCGTCTAAAGTGACTCAGCTTTGTTCTGTCAATTTTAGGGTCTTCCAGTGACTAGTTCCTTTGCAGCTGGTACCTGGGAAATGGCAGCCTCTGCTAGTGCAGCCTTGAAGACCGCCGCTTGTCTGCTCAGCACTGTTACTTAGAAGATAGGATTCAAGAGGTAAGATTAAGGTCACCAATGTGCACCGATCTGTCTAGTCATTTGCTCGACCCACCCACCATCTGTCCATCTAGCCGCTCTCCTTCCACCACCTCTTTCACCTGTAACCCACTCACTTGTTTCACACGTCCTTCTGTTTACCTGCCATCCATCTGCTTACCCACCCACCTGGCCCTCCCTTCCTTTTTCCTTTCTTCCTTCCCTCCCTCCCTTTTATTCACCCAATTATCTATCCCTTCATCCATTAATCCATCCACCCAGCCCATCTGTCTGGACACCCCCATCCGTCTACCCGCCCAACTTTCAGCCCCTTTATCCATCCATGTGTTTCACCACCCTCCTGTGCTTGTATCTGTCTCCTCGTTCCCTGATCATCTTCTCATCAGTCCTTCTCTTCAGCTGCTTATTCCTTCATCCTCTCAACTGTTCAGAGTATTTCCTGGACACCCCTCTGTGCTAGGCTTGTGCTGACTTTTCTGAGTCGCTGAGGTTGACCAGAGATGGCACCGCAGCAAGGTCAACTCACACACAAGGTGGAAAGTAGCTTCTAGTCCTCACAGGAGATGTTCAGTGCTGGAGGATCCCAAAAGATTTGGCTGATTCACTACAGAAGGAGAGACTTCCAGCATTCTCGCTGGGGGTGACTTGGAGGTTGGACCACGTGGCATGAGGGCGGCCACCTGATGGGGAAACCCATCAGGAGCCTGCTGCTGTGTCCAGACAGGCATAGACTGGACAAGGACAGTAGGTTCTGGAAGAACCATATTGGTCGTATGCTGGGACATCCAGAACGGGAGAGATGGGGTCGGGGGTCTGTGGAAGGGCCACCTGAGACTTGTGAGGGGAGCCCAGGAGACAGAGGTTCTTGTAGTTGTAGGGAGTGATACTGAAGAAGTGAGACCGGGAAGGGAAGGAATCAGTATGGGGTGTGCGATGGATAAATTCACAGGGGGGAGGTGAGTGGAACTTGATCCAGTTGAGGAGCCAAGTGCCAGTGTGAGTGGTGCCCCAGAGTGTTCTGCTGGGAGCAGGGAGCTGCCTTCCATTTATTGAGTGAAAGCTGCACTGGGTGTACAGACTGAGCTCCTGTGGCCAGAGCATGGGCTCAGGCAGAATGACTGGAAGAGGCGGCTGGAAGTTGGGCAGGTGAGCGCTAACATGGGGAGGGTCTGCCTGGGGTCAGCTGCAACACTGACTGCTCTCCTCCCCAGCGCTCACCAAATACTTACCGATTCTCTCCTCAGGGCTAGAACAGGACTGGAAATGCATTCACCTCAAATGCTTGCAGGCCGTGGGTGTGCCCTGGGCCAAACATGAATATCTATCAAGGGGAGGAAATTTGGCCTGAAAAGGTGGCCGGGAATGAGAGATTGTCTCTTTCTCTACAAGTTGTGAGGACAGGATCACTCTCGCTTTTAACCCTCCCATCTCTCCTTCACCCCAACTCTTGACTCTTCCTGAGCCAGCCTGGCCTCCTCACTGTCTGTGCCCTGGCTGTGCCAGCATCTTCTTCTGTCTAGCTCTGCCCACCACTGCTAGATTGCCCTGCCTCTCACTTCTTATGAGCAAGGGTGTCTGTCTCCCAGTCTGAAAATGAAGGATTAAATTTTTCTGATGCTACTTACTGATGGATAGTGATTAGATTAGAAAGCTATTGAGGCCAACCTCGAATGCAGAGAGGAAAAGTTCTGTGATGGAGCTGAGACATGGGCAGAGGTGGGTGGATTTTCTGATGTTTGCCATGGCAACAGGCCACTCACTGGCTCTCCCTAAATTAAGTGGTTGCTTAGGAGTCTTCTAATTGTAAGACTTGATCTGAAGGTCCTGAATGCCGTGTCCCAGCAGGGGCTGAATGGCCATGAGACAAGGGTGTGGACACAGTTCTTACCTCTGCTTCTGAGTGCTGAGATTCTTGGCTCTTTGTATTCTATCACCATGTAGGATTCAAAGGGCCTTTGGATTGAGGATGGAAGATTGTCCTGCCCAGTCTGGTCTTGGGGCCTGGCCGAGATAGGGGGCTAATTTTGCCCCCACCCCCCGGCCTGGGAGCTCACTCCTTAAAGGCTGTGTGACTCTGAGCAAGTGACTCAATTTATCTGAAGTTTCATTTGCTCATCTGGAAAATGGGATAATACTCATAGTGTTATTGAAGGGATTAAATGAGTTAATTGGAGCTTTTAAACAGTCTGTGGCAGTAGTAAGTGCTCAATAAATACTGATTACTATGCTCATACCTCTGAAGGGATCCTGTCCAGCTGAAAGGGGATGGGACCTCAAGCCACTCCCCACTGTGCCCCCTCCAGTGGCCCCTCTAGTCAGCACTTCCTCAGTAGTTAAGAATGTGGGCTCAGGCCGTGCCCTTTTCTCCTCCCGGATGTCACCGAAACCTGAGGTGCCCAGAGCCTCAGGAGACTGGGCATGGGGTATCTTGCTCCATCCGGAGGCACCTCCCAGTGACTCTTGGGCCCCACCCTCAGGTCATGTGGCAGCTGCCTCTAAAAGCTCCCAGCCCAGACCCAGTGGTACTTTGACCACACTGGATGTCCGGAGACCGTGTCTACAGGTGCCGTGCCAGTGGGAAGTGGACTCGCAGGCTTGCAGGGCTTGGGACAGCTTGACCACCTCAGAGGCTCTGGGTCTGTGCACTACTCCCTTGCCTGTTCTTTGCCTGCTGGGCTGGCTTCCTTGGGGTGAAGTAGCCTTTCCTAGCTCAGCCAGATGCCCCAATGCCTCTTCCCCACTTTCTTCTCAGCAATGTCCAGGACCTCTGCTGGCCAACCTGGCCATTCTGGTACTGTTGTCTTGCCCTCATCCTGGGATGTATATTGCTTTGTGTCCTGAAGTGAGTCAGCCTCCACTTCCCCCTTCCATATGGTGGGGAGAAAGCTTGCCTCTTTGCTTGCTCTGGCCTCTTCCAGCAGAAAAGATTCTCTCGTTTTCTTTCTATTCTGAGCTCACTGTGTGCACTTGCGTGCCCCTGGTTGAGGTATGCCTCCCCCCATTTATAAGTGGAATCCATAAAGACCCAGAACTTCGTGATCTTGCCACTCTTGTCTGTGTGCATGGCATGTCCTTAAGACATTTGGCAAACTTGTGTGCTGGGTTTCCACTCAGGAGTCCTCTTTTGGGTCTTTGTGGTGCTGTGTTCACCAAGTGCCCATGAGGGGCTCCCAGCCCCCAGCATCCTGCACACACCAGCGTGTGCACTCAGAACAGTGGGAACAGGAGAGGTGGGACACACTTGGGGCTCCAACTGTATCCCGGTTACTTAGATCCTGGGTGACTTTGTTTTGAGTCTCAGTTTCCAGCTCTGAGAAATGGGAAAGCAAGGCATGAACAGATCTGGATTTTGTGGGTATTGACTTTGGAGTCCAGCAGAACCCCAAGACCCTAGAAGGGGTTTATAACCTGCCTGATCAGGTAGGCTCCACTGTTATGGCCTCCCAGGTGTTTGGAGTATAGGTCCATCATCCCCACATTGAGGCTCTGACTCTACCTAGTCACATAGACCAGGAATGTCAACAGAAGAGGGGACACCCACACCTGTGTGACACCCCCTGGGTGGGTCCTATGCCAAGACCAAGCAACCTTGGAGCTTGCCAGGTGGGAGGCTGCCCGGATCAGTGCACCAGGTGAGGGGGGTGGGGGCTTTCCTGGCCTTTGATTCTCCAATTCTGTCCCCTGCAGGCCCCGAGCTGCCCAGAGCAGGAGCTGGAGCAGCTATGACCCGCTGGACGTCCCTGAAGGCCTCTAGGCCACACAAAGCTGCCCCCTGCCATCCAGCAGCCTTCCGCAGGCATTTGAGTGCCCCGATCCTGACCACCTCCCCCTGGAGGGCCAAGAAATCTGGGACTGAGCTGCCTTCCCGGCACAGTCCCAGGAGTCCCCCCCACCGCCGGCACCCTGCTTCTTGGTCCAGACAAAAGCAGCATCCACCATTACGGCCTTCAATCTCAGCTCCTCAGACCCATGGTGAGGTAGTCAGCTGCTCAGGGAGGATGGCAGTGTGTGCAGAGGTGTCCCTGCAGAGCCTGGGACCCCCTGGTGGTGGGCGACCTTGCCTTAGACAGAAGCAGTTTGCATGTCACCTCTCCTGATTACTAGCTGTGTGACTTTGAGGAAGTCACTGAGTCTGAACCTCCATTCAGAGTAGAAGTAATGTTGGCAGGCTCCCTGCTCGGGCTGTTGAGAGGATAGCCTAAAAGCCGTGGCTGACATGTCTGGCTGCTCTCCTGTGGTTTGACGCTACCTCTCTTAGGCCTTAAGATCTGACAGCTCTGGGGTGCCGTCATCCCCCAGACCCGAGGAGAGTTTGCAACCTGCTTGGTCACATGGGCTTTAACCTTATCTGTCTCCCAGGTATTTGGAACAAAGATCAGAGTCACGCCCCCATGCAGGCTTTTACTGTACCTGGTCACACAGATAAGGGCTGATGAAGCCGTGTTGCCACTTCCAGGTTTCCAGCCTCAGAGCCTTGACTATAAACAGCCACCAGAGGGCACTGAGAAGTCTCTGAGCGTGGGGCAGCTCCCAACCCAGGCCTTGATGGATGGCTACCCACTGGGGGAGCCCGGCCATGGCCCTGCTGCTCTGGGACCTTCTCCTGTGGGGCTTCGGTCTCTTTCAGGTGCAAGTGTTCAGGAGCTCTGACCTTGTCTAGTTCTGACCTCAGTGTGGCTGAGGAGGAAACTGCCCAACTCCTAAATACCCTGCCCAGAGCACCTGGCAGAGTCTCCCCTTCCTCCCAGCCCGGTCTGCCTGAGAAGGCTGAAGTTCTGTGCAGCCACAGCCCTGCTGCTGGCAGCCAGATGGCTGCAGTACCCACAGGCCAGACTGAGGCTTGGCCCCCGACCTACTGATGCCTCAATCTCACACTGCCAGCCTGACCCTGGGGACAGTGGGGCATCAGGATGGGGCAGCTGCTGGCACATGTGTCCAGGGGCTGGACACATGCCTTGGCCCATGACAGAGGGCTTGTACTGGCCATGGGTGTGGCTCCTGGGGTATACCTTGGGACGCCTGGCGTGCCTCAGTGTGTGTATGGCAGGCCAGCCAGGTGCCCCTGAGTGCACTGAGGATGGTGATACTTCCTAGCGCTCCCCTCCTGCTCTTGCTTGAAGGCAGGGCTGGGGGAGGCCCTGAGGCTCAGGTTGGCCACTAAGTGACCCCTCTTAAGCGACAACTCACTCTCGCCTCCTGGCCACTGCGGATGATAGGGAGGTCATGGGCATAGGTCATGGGCATAGTGTTTGGGAAGAAATGTGAGCGTCAGGAGTGGGGTGTCATACCTATTCCAAGCCCTGGGGGGGGGGGTGAGAAACCAGTGAACAAGATGGCAAAGTTCTGGTGCCCGGGGAGCTGGCAGTGGGGATAATGATCAAATGCCACCCCGTGCACTAGCGCTAGGTCAGAGGTCAGTACTGTGGAGTGACTGGGCACAGGGGAACTTCTGGAAACTCCTGTGGCCACTGGAGGTCAGGCTTGGAGGAAGTGACACAGCAGTAGAAGCCTGAAGGAGAGTTAAATTTGGGTTTGAGGACCAGTGGAGTTTGCAGCCAGTTGAGCAAAGGGGAGACAGAAAGATGAGACTTGAAGGTCCCAGGCTTCATTCTTAGTGCAACCCCAGTGGGGACTTTGTGAGTAGAGAATGGTAAGCCAGGTCCCCATGGCTCCCGAGGGGACTGGGATTATGTGGGGAGCGGAGCTAGTGGCTGCCACACAGTCCGGGTAGGCAGTGTTGGGGACTGGTGGGAGCAGAGTGGGATTCTAAATAGAGCTCTAGGTGGGGGAGTAAGAGACACTGAGGACGAATCTAGAATTTTAGCTGGAGTTTCTGGGAGGGCAGAATGGCAATTTCCCAAGCTCACAAGGCTGGTGAGGGGCTGGCTTAGTGTGGGTACACTTAATGGAGATGCCCCCCAGTCACATTTGGCCCAAGAGCACTGGGGAGGGGACAGAGGTGTCGCCGGTGTGACCCCCACCACCCAGCCCTTCTGACCTCTCTGTTGCAGGAGCGGCCCTGCCTGGAGCTGGCCCGGGGGCGAGCCAGGGCCTCCCCGCCCCCGGGATGACTGCAGCCGGCCGGGCCAACCCCTACAGCATCGTGTCATCCGAGGAGGACGGGCTGCACCTGGTCACCATGTCGGGTGCCAACGGCTTTGGCAACGGCAAGGTGCATACTCGGCGCAGGTGCCGAAACCGCTTCGTCAAGAAGAACGGCCAGTGCAACATTGAATTCGCCAACATGGACGAGAAGTCGCAGCGCTACCTGGCTGACATGTTCACCACCTGCGTGGACATCCGCTGGCGCTACATGCTGCTCATCTTCTCCCTTGCCTTCCTTGCCTCCTGGCTGCTCTTTGGCGTCATCTTCTGGGTCATCGCGGTGGCCCACGGCGACCTGGAGCCAGCCGAGGGCCACGACCGCACCCCCTGCGTGATGCAGGTGCACGGCTTCATGGCGGCCTTCCTCTTCTCTATCGAGACGCAGACCACCATCGGCTACGGGCTGCGGTGCGTGACGGAGGAGTGCCCGGTGGCCGTCTTCATGGTGGTAGCACAGTCCATCGTGGGCTGCATCATCGACTCCTTCATGATCGGGGCAATCATGGCCAAGATGGCCCGGCCCAAGAAGCGGGCGCAGACGCTGCTGTTCAGCCACAACGCCGTGGTGGCGCTGCGTGATGGCAAGCTCTGCCTCATGTGGCGCGTGGGCAACCTGCGCAAGAGCCACATCGTGGAGGCCCATGTGCGGGCCCAGCTCATCAAGCCCAGGGTCACAGAGGAGGGAGAGTACATCCCGCTGGACCAGATCGACATCGACGTCGGCTTTGACAAGGGCCTGGACCGCATCTTTCTGGTGTCACCCATCACCATCTTGCACGAGATCGACGAGGCCAGCCCGCTGTTTGGCATCAGCCGGCAAGACTTGGAGACGGACGACTTCGAGATTGTGGTCATCTTGGAGGGCATGGTGGAGGCCACGGCCATGACCACGCAGGCCCGGAGCTCCTACCTGGCCAATGAGATCTTGTGGGGCCACCGCTTCGAGCCTGTGCTCTTCGAGGAGAAGAACCAGTACAAAATCGACTACTCACATTTTCACAAGACCTACGAGGTGCCCTCCACGCCCCGTTGCAGCGCCAAGGACCTGGTGGAGAACAAGTTCCTGCTGCCTAGCGCCAACTCCTTCTGCTACGAGAATGAGCTGGCCTTTCTGAGTCGTGATGAGGAGGACGAGGTGGACGGAGAGCAGGACGGCCGCAGCCCCCAGGCCAGGCACGACTTTGACAGACCCCAGGCCAGCAGCAGTGCGCTGGAGCAGCGGCCCTACAGACGGGAGTCGGAGATCTGAGCCACCGTTGGCCAAGGTGCAACATTGGCCCTGCCGGGGACGCCTGGCAGGGGAGACGCCTGGCATGCCGAGAAGGCCGGGCTCCAGCAGAACGGGCCAGGCACCCCAGGTGCAGACTCAGTAGCACTTTAGATGTTTTATGTTTCTTCACAATGGCCTCAGAGGGTTGTCAGGGGAGTGGGTGGCTGGAGCCAGTCGCCCTTGGCCTGAGAGGCCAGAGCAGCACAGGGCCGCGGGGCCGCCTCCTGGAGCCTCGCCACTGATCTCTGCCTGCCCAGAAATGGCTCTGGAACCACCAGGCTCTGGGGGCAAAGGCCAGCAGGCTGCAGCGCGTCTCGCTGGTTTTTAACTTGGGAAGAAACACCTGGTTTCGGCTTTCTCAACCTTAGCTTGAGTAAGACTGTTTACAAAAAAAATAATAACAATAACATGTGATTGAAAATTTTTTAATTCATGGGGGGGGGGTATTAGAATTTCATTGGCCTGTCAGGATTGCAAGCAATTGCATGGAGGCTCCAGAAGGTTCTGAGATGGGACCCTCCACTCGAAGCTGGCTGCTGGCCCGTGCCAGCCGCTGTGGCCCCCGGGTGAGCATAGAGCTCCCCGTGGTTTTGTGTACTCGCAGAGCAAATTAGATTCCGTTTGTGATACTAAAACCAAGACCATGTTAATGATCATAATAAAAGCTTTTCAATGTCACTGGGGTAGGGGCAGGGGCTGGGGAAAAACTAATTTGAGCTTTTTGAATTTGACTTTGTATTTTAGAGATGCGTCTCAGGGCCAAATCGGGACCTGCCGTGTGGGGTCCACTCTCTCTCCACCACCTGGATTCTCCTGTTGTGCTTCTTTCTCCTTTTCTGGCCTCCACCCCTTCCACAGTGAGGGCCAGTTGGGAACTGTGGGAGTGATGGCTCCTGGGAAGGGGGCACCAGGCTCCCAGGCTGTGAGGAAGCGAATCGGCCCCATCCCTACAGGGCTGAGCGTGAGTCGTGCCTTAGAGACCCCGGGGCTTGGCTCTCCTTGTTTCTGTTTTTATGGGGCTTGCCTAATTGGTCTTCCTTGCTGCCTCCAAACCCACCCAGGAGGCCCGACCAGCCCCTCTGTAGAGGCCGCTGAGTTGGCACTCCCCTACACCTGGGCAGCACAGGGGATCCCAGGGGTGTCCTGCTGCTGAGGGGCAGAGGAACGTGGCATTGTCACTGAGATGGTTGGGAGTGTCACTCATGCCAGGCACTCTGGCCAGAAGGAGCCTGGGGCCCTTGGTCATCGCTGGATCAGGAGCAGATCAATAGGGTCTTGTTCTTGGCAGAGGAGACAGCTAGTGGGCTCCGGGATAGAGCCCAGGCCTTCCAGGCCAGCTGACAGCACTGTCCCCCCCTGGGGACCAGGCCAGCCAGGAAATCTGTAGTGAGAGAGCCAGTGTCCGTCCATCCAGGGCCCTCTAACTTGTGCCTCCAAGACAGTTCACAGACAGAAGGCATCAGACTCTGGTCCAAGTGGGGAAACTGAGGTGGAATGGAAGGTGATGTAATGAGTGGGTGGGTGAGGGAAGTGGAGAAAAGGGGACCTGAGTGGGGGCTCATGCCTCTGTCCCCCTCTTCCGACCCTCACAGCAGTTGGAATTGGGCTCTGAAGTCAGGGACCATGGAGGGTCTGAGCATCTGCTCACCGTTCTTTCCTACCCAGAGATACCCAGACCAGCCCTGTAGTAGGCTGACTCTGGACACCCGCCCAGACCTCAGGACCCACCCCGATTTCTGGCGAAAAGCTGTAGCCCGAGGCAGTGGACATAGCACTAGAGCCCGGCTTCCTCCTGGCCTCCGGCTTTCTCAACCTTAGCTTTGAGGGCAGAGTGTGTGGAGTCCCTGTGGGAACGCTTGCCCACCCACCCCCTTCAACCTTGACCCCTGGACCCTCAGGCTGAGCCAGGGAGGGACAAGGAGGCCCCATCACTTGGGGCCCGGTCTCGGGGCTGGTGCTCTGCTCTGCCCAGCGGCCTTTCAGGGCCTTTTAGGACCTTCCAGGGTCAAGTGGGCCTGCCATTCACAAACTCTACCCAGAGGAGATCCCAAGGGCCTCACAGCCCCTGCAGCCCTGGCCATCTGGGTGACCTGGTCCCCCTCCCAGGCTCTTGCTGGACAGACCCTGCAGGAAAGCAGCCTCAAATGGCCTTTCCTCTCTCCAAAGGCAGATACTGCATTTTCAAAGTTTTCTGCCCTCTTTTTCCTCCCCTGTGTTTATTTATTTATTTATTTATTGCTTTTGCTAATGACCAAAATAGTCTCCCCTTTAGTGCACGAGAGGGCGGATGGGAGGAACTGTGTGCGTGCAGAACGAGGAAACACTGCCCCGGGACGGGTGCTCGCAGGGGCCGTGTGCGCCGCGTGTGTGCTCGTGTGTGGTGTGTAGTGAGCAGAGTGTGCTGAGCACAGGGGAGCAGAGAGTGTGTGCCCGTGTGTGCCTGTGGCATGTGGTGGGCGGGGTGTGTGTGCACTCGCGTAGACTTTGTACGTCCCGTGTGGTCTGCTCTGCAGGCAGGCACTTCAGCCTGCTCCTGCCCTTGCCCTCTGGCAGCCCAGCACTTGAGAGGTTTCCCGACAGCCTGAATCTGGTGGTGCAGAGTGGAGAGTTGACCCAGGAAGAGGCCTCAGGTGCCAGGGGCCAGGTGCCCTCCACCAGGGACCCACTGGGGTGGGGTGTGATTGTGTGATTCCAGCGCTTCCAGCAGGTGATGGCTGCCCTGGCTCTGTGTGTGTGCCCAAGCGTGTGGATTCATTTGTGCCCTGTCTTGCCTGTGTGTGAGAGAAACATGCAGGAATGACATAGATGCAGTGTGGAACCCTTCAGACGGGGGAGAGTTCTGCAGGTGTGTGCACACGCTCTCCACTCATATGTGAGTCTGCACTGATTCTATATTTGCATGTCGGTATGTATGCACACATGTAGTTATGTGTCCATTTACTCACAGGTGTGTTTGTGTGTGTTTTCTATGAGTGCATTGGGCTATATGTTTACCAGGCCAGGCGCATACCAGTCAGGATGGTCATGGGTGCTGGACATCAGCACAGCTGAACCCCATCGGCCCACCGACCTCTGCCTGCAGAGGTTATGTCCAGTGGTCATGCCTGGAGTGTGCCAAGGTGAGGCTTCTGTGTACCTGCGTGAGGTTATATCCACACATGCTTGTGAGCACGCCACATCCAGAGGTGAGTGTATGTAGGTTGTGTGGAGGGGCCTTCCGCGTTTGCTGTGTGCCTGGGGTGCGTTCGTGTGGCAGCTCAGAGAGCAGGGCTGGAGGCAGTGCAATGTGTGTGTGTGTGTGGGTCGCTGGGTGTATGCACGTGAGTGTCAGGGGTGATGTGTGTGCGCGTGCCTGTGCGTGCCACTCGGCACAGTGCCCCCACCCCACCCCCATGCCCTGCTGGTGCTGTGCCACCACGCCCCTGCCTCCCCGCGGGTCCTGTGGGGCTGGGGCCTGGCGGGAGGGAGCCCCTGCACAGGGGTGTCTGCCCTGTGTGCGGTCATAGAATGTCTAATCTATTTTAAATGGTGAAACCGGAGAATTTTCATGTTATTTTCAATACATAGTGATATCTGAAGACATAGGCCATGAGACTAGACCACATTAAATGCATTTTGATCTCTTTGAGTGCTGCTTGTGGAGATGTGTTTGAAGGTCCCTGTGACTCCCGTGCATACTGGTGGTCTCTGCCCCCTCCGCCTCCTGTGTGCTGGGGTGATCGTGTGGGGGGTGGGCATGGCAGCAGCTCAGGGTGGGGGACAGAACACCGCCTCCAGCAAGTACACCTGCCCCCTATCCCCTGTGACCGCGTCTCTCCTCCCCTCAGCCCCTGGGTATGCGGGACCATTCTGGGCGCTGGAGTCACACCAGCTGTGTGACCTAGGGTGACAGCAGTATCCTCCCTGGGCCTGGGATTCCCCGCCTTCAATCCTCCTGCAGAGGTCTGACAGCACCTCCACAGGCAGGGGTGTGCTGAGTGCGGAGGCAAGTGTCTCTCCTGGGACTCAAGGTGAGGAGACCCCAGGCAGAGGACAGACAGGGATGGGGGGTGCAGAAGACGCTACTCCAGTCTGAATGGAGGTTGGGGCTTGCAGACAGAGGGCGGCGGAAGAACTGTGTTGGGGAAAGGAGGCTTTCCTCTCCCAAGGGCCTCAGTGGCTTCTGGCAGAGGCCCCAGGGAGAGAAGTCTTCCCTTCACCCAGACTTTCCACAAGTGGAGAACTACTGCACATCAGCTAAGGCCTCCATGGGCCCTCAGCTTGTAAGATTCAGAGGATTCCAGGTGACAGGACGAGAAACCTGGCAGGGCAGTGAGCAGTGTCAAGGAGCAGAGGTGTCAGGCTTCTTGGAGGATGCTCCCTGGGTTGATCTGAGGGGAGAGTCCTGAAGGGAGTTGGTTTGATTCTGGGACCCTCCTTTCCCTTGACTTAGAAGCCCCTCCCTGGAACCCCACTACCAGAATCTGACTGGGACAGGAGGGTTGTGGCTTTGCTCTGACAGTTCAAGCATGAAGCACCAAGTTCCCAGAGCACAGACAGGAACACCCACCTCTTCCTACTCCCCCGCCATGGTGATGACCTGCTCCAGTTGACACTTGGCACTCTGACTACTCAAGCTTTTTGGCACCTGAACTCAAAAGTACTGAGATATCCTCCATTCAGGCTACGGCCCTGGGTCAGATGTTAGGCTTCTTTCCTCGGGGACATGGAATAAATTCCCTTCCTTCTTTGGCCTCAGTAAAAACGGAGCTTTCATAATAAGGGCCAGCTGGAAGAGTTGTTGAAAACAAAGAACATTTACATGGCAAACACCTTACACATTTGCACTCGACCAGTCTGGTGTATGTGGACGGAGCATGCGACCAGCTCAAATTTGCAGTGTGAAGTCCGGGGACACAGACTAGACCTGACACCAGGTCTCTGCGTGGCCAAGTCCACTGGCTTCCCCTTCAATTCACTCTTTCTAGTACTTTCCCTACCCCCAGGACATTTGCACATGCTGTTCTCACTCACTGGACACTTTACCCCTGGATCTGCCTCTTCCTCCTAGTCTAGATCTTCACAGCATTGAGAGTCCAACTTTCAATGTTTAAAACAAGTTGGGCAGAGGTGGGGGTGGGTTATTCATTGGTGTTCATTGAGTCCTATTAAGTAGAGGTTTGGGGTCTGTAAGGTGCAGGGCACCCTTTAGCCATGTAGTCTAAGGGAGGCTATCTCAGAAGAGAGGAATATTAAGAGACTTGCCCAATGGTACAGGAAGGCTATTTATCCCAGCAGGGTCTGAGTCCCCAGCTGTCCTGGGGCCAGTAAGAAAGGTCATGTGACTCAGAGGCCACCACCCTCCCAGGGACTCTCTTCTCCTTACCAATGACCGTGGCTCCTAAGCCCCAGGATGAGAATCCCCTGCAGCTGACACAGCAACTGCCGGGGTGCCTTCATAAGGGGCGCTAGAGGTGTCGACCATGGCTCCCTCACAAAGCCATAACGCCCACCATGTACCACACACTAACACATGGACAGCCTGTGTTAAGGGGCACAATGGAGTTGGGAGTTGTGGGGGCCTGGCTGGAGGCGCCTGCTTGGGGCAAGTCTCCAAGGACAGAGTGGTGGAGTTGGGCTACAGAACAGTGGCAACCTGTTCTCACCTATATGGTTCCTCACAAACACCATGTTCTGCTGAGTGATGCTCAAGCCACAAGACACTCATACAGACACAAAACAGATACTCAGACAGACACTAAGGATTTAAAAAGAATCACACTCTGTGGAGAAAGGAAAAGACTATTTTCAGGAGAAAAATGGAGGATTAACATGGAAGAGAACTTTCTGGTGGGAAAGTGGTCAGCCAGCTGCTTTCTTTCCCATCTCCACCTGTCCACCCTGAGATCAGACTCAACTTATATAATGTTGGGACAGGTGCAGTTATTTTCAGGGAAAAGGAGGGAAGCAGAATTGGGAAACAAGGCACCTGTTTTCAGGGGCACATGATTTCCTGACAGAGTGAGTCTTGCTTACTTTAACTCAGGGGATCGTTATCTCTGAGATACACACAAAGTATGTGGGAGAAAGGCGAGGACTTTAAGGAGTTGCCCATTTAGTGTGTACACTGTGTGATCATCAGTGGGTAAGGGCTCCAGGCTCTTCTCAGCAGCGTTAGTGGATTCCTGCTGAGTGACGGTGACCGGGCAGGGCTGACCACAGGGCAGTGTTCTCAGTGGATCTCTTTGACCTTTTGATTTAGCCCCTACAGCTTATATTTCCTTTGCCCAAACTGTTTGGTTTTCTTTCACAATTGAAAATCAGGTAGAGACAAAAGGTAGACCAACAGATTTTACACACACACACGCACACAGAGGAAGAGAGAAAAGAGCTGTATAAGTATATAGCTAGATAGGTAAACAGAAAGCTACAGAAAACAGGCAGACACAGATAAAGTGATACATCGATCAAATTATTCATTCTAATAGATATCAAAGAGCTGTAATCAAGAAGACATACTATCACATTAACTGAGACAGAGAGATACAGACGGACAATACACAGGCAGGCAGGCATGAACATGTCAGAGAGACACATACAGAAACAGGCAACTGTAGACAGCATGGACAGTAAAACAGGTAGACATATAGAAATATAAAGTACATAGGATCAGACAAACACATAGTGGAGAGATGGAGAGAGACTGTGAGGCAGGAAGAATAAACTTGGAAGCTAGAACTCCCTGTTTATGTGGAGAGACCAGGGACAGAGCCAGACATAAAGACACATAAGATAGAAAGGCAGAGTGACAGAAAGACAAACAAACACAGAAGAGAGACAAATGGAAGATGGAGAGTCATATAGTTAGGTAGAAATACAGGTCACTAGATCTATGGAAAGAGAGAGGGAGACTGGAAGGGAGAGCAGATAAGCAGATAATGAAAATAGAAATATAGGCAGAAAAACAGAGAGATGAGAAGTGGCTGATACAGTACAGACTGTCCCATAAACAGAGACATAAGATGTACACAGACAGACGTACAGAGACAGACAGATACTAAGAGATACGAGGGCAGACACACACACACACACACACACACACTGCAGGGCAAGCAAACAGAGATACAAACAGACAGACAGAAACCTGAGTCTGTGTACAGACAGATACACAGACAAGGAGAGGGGTGGACGGACAAATAGACAGATACACATATAGTAGGAAAGCCAGAGCAGAGTTAGAGTTGAACAGACTGCTAGACAAATAGATAGGAAGATAGACTCACCTTGATAGGTGAGACAGACGAGTGGATACTGCAAAGACACGGAGACAGAAAGACTGGCAGATACACCAAGAGACTGTCAGATAAACAGAGAGAAATTCAGAAAGAAATTCAGAAGGCAGACAGACAGACAGATGTATTTAGAAAGACAGAGAGAACGACATACCACAGAGAGATAATGTGCAGACAGAAAGTTAGGCAGGGAGACAGATAAACTGCACGGTGGGGAGATAGACATGGAGACATAAAGCTAGAAAGGTGGCAGCTGTAGGGTTGGAGAAGGAGCTAGAAATGCAGACAGCTCATCCGGCATAGAGATAGACAGAGGAGACAGGACATGACAGGTGTCACGGTCATTGTGGGTGGACAGAGCACTTCCTGACTTTTCCTCAGCAACCTCTGCATCTTGGTACCATGTCTGCCTTTGTGGGTCAGAATTATTTCTTCTTTACTGTCAGAGTCTGCACCAAAGAGGGCCCTTGGATTTAATACATTGCTCAAACATACCTTTAGCAGTCCCTGCTACTGTTGATTACATTTCACAGAGGGTCTCCTGAAAGTGTCTGCCATGGGAAGGGGGGAAAGCAGCCCCCAGAACAAAGAACCCATAGGTCCCCACCCCTCACCAGGTAGGTGCATATGCATGTAAAGAATCAACAGCTGTTTTTGAAGTCCTGTGTGTAACTGAACAGAGCGGGTGTGTGTCTGTGGGGGAGCACATTGAAGTCAAGAGCAGGCCTGGTAGCCGGACATCAAATGTGCATGGTTATGATAAAAGACTCACCCTGTATTTTCATTAACATGCACAATGAAATACTGAAAAATATTTAACTGGCTGTACTTTCTGACTTAGGCTCAAGCTGCTTCTGAGAGTTATACTTTATATCAAGTCAGATAAAGGGCACTCCACAGGGCTGATGAGCCAGCCCCGCGCCCACTCTTGGGAAATGTGGATGTCCTGTGGCTGAGAGAGGCCTCGGCCCCTTCTCTGACGCCAGTGGGCTGTGGGGAGGTGGACCATGAGGAGCCGGGCACCCTCTTCAGAAGGGGAAGGAGGAATGTGGATTCAAAAAATCAAGCCCCTCCCCTACCAAGAAACCAAAGTCTCCAGAGTCAATAGGTTTAATCTGTAAAAGTTGTCACAGAACATGGTGCTTGACCTTGGCCAGCCAGCACCTGGGGAGATCCATGGTTCCTCCTGGCTGCACCTGTTATTCCAGGAATTCACCACCCTGTCAACCCAAATGTGCACCTTCCAGGGGAAGAGTTCCTCACTGCCAGCCTACCAACCTAAAAGTGGAGTCCACCCAAAATAAAACTGAATACAAGAAATTTGTTTATGATCAATAAGACAATATTGGTG